GTGTATGTCTTTTTGGTATAAAGATTTGTTTTTCTTTTGGATATATAACAAGTATATTCAACCAGCAATAGGGTTGCTGGAAAATGGTTAACTATTTTAAGTTATTTGAGAAATCTCCAACTGCTCTCCACAGCAGCTGAACTAATTTACATTTCCACCAACAGTGTATAAGCATTCCCTTTTCTTCACAACCTCACCAGCATCTGTTATTTTTTAACTTTTTAATGACAGTTATTCTGCATGGTGGTGATTGTATCTCATTGCGATTTTGAATTTAATTTCTTTCATTAGTGATGTGGAACATTTTTTTCATGTTTGATGGCCACCTGTTTGTCTTGTTTTGAGAAGTGTCTGTTCCTGTTTCTTTTTCCCACTTTTTAATAGGGTTATTATTATTTTTTGCTTGTACAGTTGTTTAAGTTCCTTATAGATTCTGGATATTAGATGTTTGTTAAATGCATAGTTTGCAATACTTTATCCCATTCTGTAGGTGTCTGTTTACTCTGCTGATAGTTTCTTTTGCTGTGCAGAGGCTCTTTAATTTAATTAGGTCCCACTTGTCAACTTTTGTTTTTGTTGAAAGGCCAATGACCAGAATGGTGTTTCCTAGGTTTTCTTCCAGGATTCTCATACTTTAAGATCTTATATTTAAATATTTGATCCCTCTTGAGTTAATTCTTGTATATAGTGAAAGATAAGGGTCCAGTTTCAATCTCCTCCATATGGCTAGCCAGCTATCCCAGCACCAATTATTGAATAATCATCTCCCCATTTGTTATTTTTGTTGACTTTGTCGAAAATCAGATGGCTATAGGTGTGCAGCTTTAATTTTGGGTTCTCTATTCTGTACTATTGCTGCACCACAGACTTTTTCTAAGCCCAGCTTAATTTGGGACCCTATTCACTTTAGTTTTTTCCTCACTCTACAGTATCATATGCTATTTTTTTTTTTAAGTTTGGTATTTCTGTCTTTATATTTACAAATATTTAAAGTTAATGAAAAAAATTATCCTTATTCCAGGTAAATAAGCAACGATCAGGAGATCAGGTATAAGGAATAACCTAATAAATCATAAGTTATTGGTCAATTGGGTTTCATAAAGGTAGGTTTCTTCAAGTGGTCAGGAAGCCAAGGAAGAAAAACCAAACAGATATGATAGCCTAACTTGTTGATTAAGTTTTTAACAGAGCTTTTCACATATCTTTCTTTCTTTCTTTTTTTTTCATTTGAGATGGCATCTCACACTGTCACCTGTGCTGGAGTGCAGTGGTGCTATCTCAGCTCACTGCAACCTCCACCTCCTGGGTTCAAGCGATTCTCCTGCCTCAGCCCCCTGAGTAGCTGGGATTACAGGCAACTGCCACCACACTCATGTATTTTTTTTTTTTTTAACTTTTAGTAGAGACGGGGTTTCGCTGTGTTGGCCAGGCTGGTCTCGAACTCCTGACCTTGTGATTCCCCTGTCTCGGCCTCCCAAAGTGCTGGGATTACAGGCATAAGCCACCGCACCCAGCCAGTTCACATATCTTTCATTGGAAGAAATAGTCTCATTTAAAAGGTCAGATGAAATCATGCAGGAAATAATAGAAAAAGTTGCAATACATACCCATATACTCTTCACCTAGCCAACTGGTAACATTGTGCCACATTTGCATCACATTTGCATTTGCATTACATGATCCAATTTTGTCTCTCTTTACACACACACATACCCTATAAACATAAGTGGTAGCCATCTTGTAGTGGTAGTTAGTGGTAACCATCTTGTAGTGCTTTAAGCAATTAGCATTTTATGCATTTCTAAGGATATGCTATTATTAACCTGTGAATTCTAAAACCCAAAAAAGTTTTCTCTACATAACTGCATTTAATCGTGTTTGTATTTTATAAATACTTAAACGTGATTATCAACTAAAAAAAAATTTGAAACATTCCATATGTTCAACAATAGAAGAATAATTTGGTAAATTATGGTATATGAATGTGGTGAAATTATTAGAGTTTAGAATACACCATAGGTAGATTCAAATACAAAATAACAGGAACATACAAAAACGATACATAATGTATATTATCAGCTTTATATATTTCAATGTGTGCTGTGACAAGCCCCAAACCTTCAGATAAGAAATTGAAAATAATATTAATTACACATACACAAACATATACACACACTCTGAAACAGCTATCTAATTCATATGTTTCAACATAAGCATGGTCTACAAATACCCTATTCTGACTGGACATTTGCCACTATATATCCTTTTAATTTTGAAAAGAAGATGTAGGAATAGGATTATTTTTCTTTTTCATGACATGTAAGATGACACTTCATTGCTACACTTTTGATTGAATTGTCCTTTTGTAACTTATTGCTTCCTTGGTCTATTGTTCTTTATGTAACTGCTAATTGCCTAATAATTTATCTCATTCATACCTTGCTTTCAATTGCCTTGTTTCTCAGCAAACTACAGATATCCCAAATGCTTGAATCAACCCTCTACTATCTTTTCACCATTTCACTTTTTTAATTTCAGCCACCTTACCAGTAGTTATTTTAGGATCCCCATAACTAAAGTAAATCTTCACATCTTTGTTTGTAATTGAATATTGAGGGTGAATAATAGAGAAGATTAGACTAGATAATTGTGAGAGGACTTGAATTCATGTCTTGGGAAGTTTGACGGAATGCCATTGTTCTTTAATATGGAAAGTTGAAGGTATGCCATTGAGCTTTACTACAGATTTCCACAGTTAGAGGTTCTGATTCTGGAGGCAAATTTGGGGCCTTAGAAATTACATTTGGAAATGCCTCAGGTAATTTTTTTGTAGCTATTCCATAAGCTACAATTTGAAAATGAGGCCTACTGCATTTAGCCACTAAACTATGCACAATAGCAGATCCCCTCCAACTTTAATGTGCATATGAATCACTATGTTTCTTCTTTAACTGCAAATACAGATTCTGTAGGTCTGTAGCAGAGCCTGAGATTCAACATTTCTAACAAGCACCCAATAGATGTGATTGCTGACAGTCCACAGGCCACACTTTAAATATCCAGTTGTTGCTGGGAACTGGAATTTACATAGATGAAGGTATCAAAGATACTTGCTGGACTAGAGAAAAGTTGCAGACCTGTGGGAAACATTTTTATAATCTGTTAACAGGCCAGAAGTTCCTCTTTTGGCTTTTATATTGAATTAATTTGTCAATATGTATCTTACGGTGTTAGAAGAATGCTTTGACAATATGTATTTATAAAATAATTGGAGTTAAATATTAATTTTTCCAAATTGACTAATACAGTCTTATGAAAATTACTAAATGATAACTCTGAGGCATTGTGAATAAAGTACTGTATTTATTTACTAAGCCTGCCATAACAAAATACCACTGACTGGGTGGCTTATCCAACAGGAATTTATTTTTTCCTAGTTCTGCAGGTTACAAGTCCAAGATCCAGGTGTCGGTAGGTTTGGTTTCTCTGGGGCCTCTCTCTTTGGCTTGCAGATTGCTGCCTTCACTCTGTGCCTTCACGTGGGCCTTACTCCGAGTATACATATCCCTGGTGTCTCTTCCTCTTTCTGTAAGGATACTAGACATGTCGGATGAGGGCCCCACCCTTAAAGTCTCATTTAACCTGAGTTACCTCTTTGAAGGCCTTATCTTCAAATATAGTCATATTAGGGGTTAGGGCATCAATGTAGGAATTCTGGAAGGAAACACTTTAGTCTAACACAAGTACATGTGTGAATGAATTCAAATCCAGAACAGATTATATTTTAAAATATTTAATTTGCTTTGAAGGGTCAGAGGCCCTTAAATACAAGAAACTTAAGTTTACACTGTGTTATGGGCTGAATTGTGTTCCCCAGAAATCACATGTTGAAGCTCTAATCCTCAGCACCTCAGAATGAGACTGTAGTTGGAGTGCTAAATTAAATAAGCATGAGGCCATTCACCTGGGGTTGTCTCTGTTTTTTGAGTTCCTAGACAACAAACTGCAACCTAACTAGTACGTAAATAAACTGAACACTAATTTGGAAGTAGAACACACAGCTAAGTTTCAGCCAATTACAGGCAGCCAGCTCATCACAACATGTCGATATAAAGTAGATGCCTTGCTGTAGCCAATCAGGTGAGTTGTCACTTTGATTCTGTGTTCAGCCTATAAAAAGCTCCATGTTCACGCTGCTGGGCAAAGCTTTCTGAACATCTTCTGGTTTCAAGTGCTGCCTGCTTCATGAATCATTATCTGTTCAAATAAACTCTGCTAAATTTAATTTGTCTAGTTTTTCTTTGAACAGGAGATAAGGCCTTTAAAAAGGTAATTAAGTTAAAATGAGGCCATGAGTATGGTTCCTAATCCAATTTGATGAGTGTCCTTATAAGAAGAGACACCAGACGAGTTTGTGCACAGGTGGATGACCATGTGAAGAGGCAGCAACAGGGCAGCCCTCTGCAAGCCAAGGAGAACGACTACAGAGGAAATCAACTCTGCTGGCATCTGGATCTTGGAACTCCAGCCTCCACAACTGTGAGAAAATATTTTCTGTTGTTTAAGTCACCCAGTTGTGGTGTTTTGCTATGGCCTTCCTAGAAAACTAATACACACTGATTACATCTACAGGAAATAAAAGTCAACGCAGAATATTTTAATAAGCAACACACAGCTTTTATCTTCTTTCATACTCAGTGAACCACACTATATGTATCTCTTTCACATTTCATGAAAAAAAATTCCTAAATACAAGTCCAAACACTGCTGAATATGCTTAACATAAGTTATTAATATTATATCCCAAACAAGCTGAAGAAAAGATCACTTATAACGCAATTCCAAAAGTTGTTTTCACTTCTAAAAATCCTAGAGTTTCGAACTGCCATTAGCTCAGAACTAAACAGTTCAGGGTGGCAAAAATTATTAAATATTTGTTAAAGTAAGAATATAATTGCAATTAATTAAAGATTACCTCTAACATTAAAAAGAAGCCTTACCTTTGTTTTGGGTTCTAGAATTTTTACTCCATAAATTGATATTTGCAACTCCACTTTAGGAATTTTCTGGCCTTCAGATTTCTTGATATGTCTTGCAAACTACAAATGAAAAATTATTCACAAAACTACAATTCTATTTCTATAAAGAACGAACAAAAATAAACACACATTTGGAGTTCATATTCAATTTCAAACTTTCATTAAGTGAATTTTTGCCAAGTATAAAGCATTTTATAAAGATAGTCTCAAAATATTTAAAAATCATAGCAATCAGCCATTATAATTCACATTGATTTTCAGCAATTTTTTTAAATTAAGATTTTTAATGCACTTCTTTCATGGTATTTACAAAAATGTATTCATACCAGACAGCTGAGGAAACTCAAAATACTTTGTGGGAAGATGTGCAGAGATCAGTTTGTTTTTCTGTGAATCTTTTGTTGTTATTATCTTCACAGAATTAGCAGTTCATCAGCTGTTGAATATGCCCTCTTTGCCATTTCTAGATATTTACTTAGTTTGGAACACTATTCTATCCAACCACATCTATACATAAAAAGAAGCAGATTACCATGTCCAAACTGAAGCTAAGAATTGAAGTAATTACCCCAGCTGAAAGACTCAGGTATAGAACTAGACTCAGTCTAGAACTACACATATAGTGAGTAGCTTGAAAGCACAGATTTTTTTCAATACTTTTGTAGTAGTATTTATTATATTTTCTCACTGAGTTAGTAGGTGTATGTAAATGCTTGTTCTATTCTGTTATAAAATCAAAAAGAAAATCAGAACAGTCATGTGTTTAGCAGATGGAGTCTCTGCCTCTCTCCTAGCACTGCTTAATTTAGTGGGGGAAAATTTCAGGAGCCCAGCCAAACTTGAATATTAAACAATTAATATTCTTTTTAAAAACTTTAATTTTAAAATATAGGCATAAACACAACATATATGTATATATATATACACACACACTATTTAGTATACACATAGCCCATGCAACATTTGGAACATATTTGTACTAAAAAATATTTGTCTGAAATTCAAAGTTTACTAGGCGTCCTGATTTTAATTGACAATTTTACTCTCTCCCTACATTCCTTCTCTCCTCTGCAATCACCCCCACATCCAGCTTTTTCTTTTTAAGAAATGGAAAGAAAACTATTAGAAGAAATAATTTCTCACCCCTCTTCTAGTGCTTCAAAAAGTTATTTCCTAGTGTACCTTTTTCTCTCTAAGGATATAAATCATCCTAACTTGACTCAAAATTGATGACATGTAATGCAAGATAGTGTTCCAGTCCTCTTGTATGTCATAGTTACTTGCACTGTGTATTTCACTGTAATTTAGGGCAGATGTGAATACACATGGCATAGCTCCGTTCTGGAGCACAGAGTGATTAAAAGTCTTTCTCTCTTTTCATGGCTTTGCACTGCCACAGAGAATAATACAATTAATGCATATATGAATGCCTTTAAGTGTCTGCCTTCCTATCCCGGGGGTACCATTTGTTTTATTCCATTTTGAGTGGTATAATTTTTCCCCTTGCTGTCTATCTTGCTCTATGAACTTAGGTTGCTATTTTTTGTATTCAGCAGTCTTACTGCTGCACATGATACAACTAACTTGTGCCAGATACTTTTCTTTTTTGTCTTTAATAAATTTATTTTGCTTGAGTGTAGATCTTTAAAAATTATCCCAGCTATCTCCCAAAGAATGTGGATTAATTTTGTTTATTTTCACTTCATAATCTCCTTATATCAGCATAATTAAGCAATTTGAAGGTTTTCACATAGGAAGGCTTACAAAATAAGTCATCAGGTCTCCAACTATGTGAATGCATCTGGATAAAGCAACTCTCATTATCAGCTGCAGAAGCATCCTCAGCTTGTTTCCTAGGTTCTGTTGTTTTCCAGAAACAGACAGAGCATGGCTTTTGAAGCCCCTTCCACATACAGACTCAACCATTCCTGTGACCTCTGACAAGAACTGTGCAATCTTTAAAATTTTTTCCCACTGAAACATCTATCACAAAGCAACCACTATTATTAAACTTAACTATTGAGAAGGAAAGAAAGAATGGAAGAACTAGAGAAGGGAAGGAAGTAGGGGCTGAGGTAGAAAAACAAAGTGGAGAGGTAAGAAGGGAGTGGGGAGGAAGAAAGGAAGAGAGGGAAGAAGGAGAGAATGAAATAAAGAAAAAGAAAAAGAAGCACATTTCTAATCCAGGTTTTCTGAAACTTTTCTCTCTTCTTCATAACAGGATGAATTAACTGTGCTCAAAACAGCTTCAGATTCATGCAATCTAATCTTATTTCAAAGATAAGGATAGTAAGTCCCAGATAAGCTACGTACCATGGTCATAAAATGGGTTTGTAGGAATTAGGCCCAGTAACTAGTTTTCCAGATATCCACTAAATAATCTTTTTCTTTTATACAACATATATTCTGCATTTAGAAAAGAAAATTCCCAGTTCTACCTTCATTCATATCAATGTTTACACTGGTTATTGACCTTAATTTTTGAAACTATGTTACACAACTCTCATGCCTAAAGTTATACTCATTCAATCTATATTTTTCTCAGTTTAATATTCTCCTTCCTGCCTCTCTTTGTTTTTTTCTAAAACTTAAGCTAACTGTATTCTGTAGTTTGCATGCTCCCCTCTAAGTCCCTTTTGCTACTTACAGATTTCTTGCCTTCCTAATATTTCTAATTAACCTTAGGAAGATATGCTGATCAATCTACATAACATTATATTCTATTTTTTCCCTAGTTACTATTTTAATGTCAAAGCTTGAACAGTCTTTTTTGTAAATTTCTTTCAATTTTTGCTTCAGTGGATTTATTTCTTGTTAGATCTAGATGGATACAGTGATCTGCCATTAAAACTTGAATATAATAATCCAATAAAAATTATTCAAAGGAAGTGATGCATAAGCATTTTGGAGAATGACTGGATACAACAAATGAATATAACCAAGACTTTGTCATCATAAAGTGATGGGGAAGGATGGAGTAGTACTTGAAATAAAGTATTTGGTTAAATATATACTACTAATAAATAGAACTATTAAAGAAAATTTAAAGGGAGCACAACTGAGTTTCAATATTATCATTACATAATTTCTATCCATTTCTCAGAGGACTTTTTAAAAAGTGAAATTAAGTAAACTACTAATGGAATATAGAGTATTAGGCAATAAAATTAATTTACTAATTTGGGCCTATTATTTGAAGCTACTATTCTTCTTTGGGGTTCTCATATTTATATTTTTAATTTAAAGTATTTCTAATAACACTGCAGGAAATGAGCTATGTTTATATATAATTAAATTAAGCTCTAAATGTTTTATTAATTACACAACTGATTGTGAAGACAAAATAGTGTTATACAACACAGAAAGAGTGAGTTCAAATGGAAAATCTACTAGGCTGAGACTTCAAGAGGCTTGACAGCAATTCCCAAGGGCTACATTTTCTTGCAGTAATTTCATGTAACTTTAATTTAGTTGTACCAGAGTGAGGGGATTTTCACTCTAAAACTGGATTCCAGGAATGCTGCCCACTGGGTCTCTCCCAGGGAAATTGATAAGCTTTGAATCTATATATCAATACTTACATGTAAAAATCACAAATTGTTTATGAAATACATTGAGCCCCCAACATCTGTACTAGTTGCATTAATAAAAATATATAAATCACTATTAAAAATATAATTTATTCCAATAAACAGTGCTATTCAATACATAGAAGTCGAAAGGGTTTAAAATTACTACATTTCAGAAAATTTGTTTTATTTGTTGTTGTTGTTTTTGTTTATTTTTTTGTTTGTTTCTTTTTTGAGACGAAGTTTCCCTCTTGTTGCCCAGGCTGGAGTGCAATGGCGCAATCGCAGCTCACTGCAACCTCCGCCTGCCGGGTTCGAGCGATTCTCCTGCCTCAGCCTCCCAAGTAGCCGGGATTACAGGCAGGTGCCACCAAGCCCGGCTAAAACATGATCAAGAAATAGAAACTGTTGAACATGATTAGGAAATAAAGAACATATTTTGATATGGTATCTGAACTTTAAAAGGTTAATACTTACAAAAATAATTATATTTATAAAAGAAAAATTTATAAACGATAAATTCTCTAAAAAATGACAGTGTAAAAAAGTCAAAGTTTTAAAATTTTTTGAAAACTAAGCAGGCATCATTAAACACAGAAACATGAAAAATTCATATTAATAATTCTTTAATTTCTCCATCAGATTTTATTCTTAAATTTTAAATTCTTGTTTAACATCAGAAGCCATTACATTAATATTGCTGAAAAAAGGAGTAAATATAAATAAAATGTTACCTTACATGGTAATATAAAATAAATAGTATAAAGTAAGTAATATAAAATAAAATAAATTATAAAATCACATACTGAATTATATAATTTTTTTGAAAGCAGTCAGAATTCATATGTTACAGAAAAACAAATAGGAAATTAAAATGGAGATGTGTACATATGATAAAAGAGCAAGTTTCTTTTTTTCTTTCTTTTAGTAGAGCCACACCACCACCTACTGGCCATTTCGAACCAGTAGAGCTGGGTTTGACATTTAAAAAGTAGTATACTTTGAATTGTAGCTTCTGACCCTTGACACACACAAAAAAGCAAAAAATAAATAAATAAATAAATAAATAAAAAGTATTGTTTTATTCATTATCATTCGTGTATGAATCATTACCCTTAGAAATACTTTCCTGATATACAAAATGTTTGCAATCAGCACAGTAAAATTGCTTATTAAATACAAACTTATTTTGGAAGATATTTGAGAAACAACAGCTTCTATAAACTAAGTGTGCATTTTTAAACTATACTACGTAATTTTTTTTACCTTATTGTAGGTCACATTCTTTTATTAACAGAGTACATTTCTAAACATGCAACTCCACAGAAATACATATACAATCCTTCAAAAATATATGTAAACTAGCCATTGTTTAGAAAGCATTTGATTTCAAATATGCTTTTACATTTGATCTATTCATTATTCAATTGAATTTTTTTTGGTTTTCGATTTGGGTTGACTGAACAACCTACAAGGCATAAAGAAATACTACGTGTAAATAGCATTGTTTCTTTCATAAAACATTCTGATTGAAGTTGGATTCATGCCCAGATTTTGCAACTTTTTGAAAGCATTTAAATAGAATCCTATTCTAATGTTGTCCATAAACTGTGAGCCCTTTTAAATCTTCTTTGGGATTGATTAAAACTATTGGCCAATAAAAGGCAAATCTAAATTATTACCTAATGAACGGTGGAAATAAATAGTTGGCTAATCCACTTTTTTCCCAAATGGGAGCGATATTGTCTTGGGAGTTTTCAGCATATTTACTTAAAAGGATTAGTAAAATATTTTCATATAAAATAAGATGGATAAAATATTATTGACCTTTATTTCTTTACCCAGAATAGAAGCCATGCCAATTCAATTATTTCTCAATTTAAACACAGAGTGGATTCCACCAGATATGACATTCTCAAAGCAAAGTAATACCATTTAATGTCTCTGAGTTTGCCTGGCACACTCAGAGGTCTAACCCTCCTTTAGAATAACTGGAGAGTCCCTAAACCAAATAAAGTTAGAGAAGGGTTATTTCTCCAAAAATGTGAGAGCGACTATAGAGAATAACATTAATTGTGTTAAAAAAAAAAGTAGCACTATATATATTTTCTTATATGATAAAGCTGAGAATTCTGTTGAGGAGTTTTTTAAATTTTAAAACCTCAGTGACAACAATGTCCTTCGAGATGTGGAACAATTAGAGAAACATGGTGTGTGGCGTCTTATATAAGATTTTCTCAGGAAACTTGTTGACTAGGATACGTGGGGTTGCTTATTAAATGTCCTCCTCTCCTCTCTTAGTTTCACCAGTTTCCCCATGGCTACTTATGGACATTGCCAGATCCTGTTGGACTTGTAGATTAGGACATATTTAACATACAGTGTCACTGCAAAATTCTGGTTGAAATCAACTCTAACTCCACATTTTTAACTGGTGGATATTATATCTTAGCCTTTAAATATAGTTGTTATGCCATTTCTAGCTTTTGATTTGGGACATAAGTTCACATTATCCAAGCAAAGTAAAGGCAAGCTACAAAACAAACATTCAAGACACACTGCCATAAAATATTATTTTTAGAAAAATATGAACAGTATGCCATATTTTAAAAACAATTTTGTGTACATGTTTACTATTAAAAATGTTTCCTTGATATGATTACATTTCTTCAATAGTTCATTTTTAATAGGGTGAAGCTATACCTGCAACAAAGTTATTCATGCTTTGATCTCCTTCAATCTGCTGAAAACGTGACAGAATCAATGTACTTGTAAATTATTTGAAGGGTTTTCCCTACCTTTAATTTCCTTACAGCATCTCTCACAACTTCTGTTCCTTTTGGCTGTTCCACTTCTGTACTGCCAAGAAACTGAAAATGGTCATTTGTGAGACACAGTCTTTATTACGTCATATATCTATGCATCATGTTGAACTATAAGATTGCATAATAGAATGGTTTAATAGTAATGCAAACTCACATTTTAATTAAATACAAATATTATTTTATAATATATCAAAATATAAATAAACTTTATCATTTATACTTACTGTTAATCAACGTTTATTTTTAAAAACATACTTGTTTTCTAAATATTTTACTTGCAGATTTTTACTGGAAAGAAAACTGAAGTTATTTTATTAGGCCCAAGGGAATAAAGTTGATCTCAACCATTAAAATTTAGTAAACTTATTAGTAATTAAAAATTATTTTTCATTCAAAGCATGTAATTGTATTTTGTTACTATATTTAACATCAATAGTAAATTTCAAAGTTTATAATTTCAAGTAAACATTTTTCTTTGTTTTCCACTTATGAGACTCATCTAACATGTAGAATTTAAAATACAAGCTTCTTTTAATAGCCAATATATACAACTAAGTAAAGCTATAGTTAGACTAAAGAAATAAAACATACATGATCTACAATTTTACTGTTTTAAATAAACCTGCAAGTAGTCAGTAAGTGATATGGTTTGGCTGTGTCCTTGCCCAAATCTCATCTTGAATTGTAGCTCCTGTAATTCCCATGGGTTATGAGAGGAAATTGGTGGGAGGTAATTGAGTCACAAGGGTGGGTCTTTCCTGTGCTGGTCTCATGATAGTAAGTCCCATGAGACCTGATGGTTTTATAAAGAGGTATTCCCTTACCCAAGCTCTCTTGCCTGCTGCCATGTAAGACATGACTTTGCTCTTCGTTCGTCTTCTGCCATGATTGTAAGTTTGCTGAGGTCTCCCCAGCACTGTGGAACTGTGAGTCAATTAAACCTCTTTCCTCTATAAATTTCCCAGTCTCGGGTATGTCTTTATTAGCAGTATGAGAACAGAATAATACAGTGTGTTTAGTTAAAACCTGACCGATCCATAAAAAGAAAAAAGTTTCATAATAATTATCACACTGTAATAAAATCTCTACCTTGGAGAGATATAATACCTCCTAAACATAAGTCTGGTATCACCAAATGTTCAATACCAATTAGAATTGAAATATAGAGGTTTTATTCTAGAAAAATGTCTATATACAGGGCAAACAAACATTAAATTCATGAAGTATATGTAATTTTCCAAAGACTTTTTCTTTGTTCTTGTGACATACCATCAATTATAAGACCAAAGAGATTCACAAATTAATCACTTCTCCTATGTATAGACATAGGAGAATATGTGTTTGTAAAATCTACATCAAAGATTCCATAAGTGGAGTCTTTTTCATGTATTAACTTACAGAATATAAGGGAAACTATAGTAACGTCATTTTATCTCTTATTCCTTCCTTCATTTTTGAAAAAAAATAATCACTAAGGAAATTAGAGTTTTGATTTTCAAAATGGGCTCGCTGCACAACTGGCATGAGAATTACCTAGAGAGTTGGTTAAAATGTAAAAATACATGTTCCTTGATCAAATAAATCATAATCTTTAGAGGTAGGGCAAGTGAATTATATTTCTAGAAGCACTGCAAGTGATTCCTTGTACCAAAGTCTAAAGAACAGAGTTAGAAACAGTTAACAGGCCATGCGGATAGTGGAAGGTAGGTACAAACGTGAGTTGAAAATACAGGCAATAACTGGTGTTCCCTTTCCGATGAACTAATGGAGGATAGAGAGTAAAGCTCAGTTGCACTGAGGCAAAGAGAAGTTTCACTTTTCAGATTCTGTAAGGTACAACAGTTCCTTTTTCTTTCTTTCTTTTTTTTTTTTTTCAGATGGAGTCTCACTCTGTTGCCAGGCTGGAGTGCAGTGCTGCAACCTCGGCTCACTGCAACTTTCGACCCCTTGGTTCAAGCAATTCTCCTTCCTTAGCCTCTAGAGTAGCTGGGATTACAGGAACGTGCCACCACGCCCATGTAATTTTTGTATTTTTAATAAAGACAGAGTTTCACCATGTTGGCCAGGATGGTCTTGATCTCCTGACCTCGTGATCCGCCCGCCTCAGCCCCCCAAAGTGCTGGGATTACAGCTGTGGGCCACCATGCCTGGCCAACAGTTCCTTTTTCTAATATGCTTCAACTACATCAAATTGTTAACAGGCCCTAGATAAGATATCAACAGGCTTTCAGTTTGCCCCACTGTGACCTGAAATTGTTGGTTGACCAGGCATACATAAAAGACCAAAGTGAATGAGAAATTTTAAGCTGAAAAAGAAATGAAATCCTGCTACCAAGATCGGGAGACAGCCAAATCTATTCCTGACACCAATGGAGCTGTCACATTTCTCCAGTTTTGGATGAGTGTTTTCAAACTTGATTGAATGACAGAATCATAGGGGGCGCTTTAGCCAGGTGCAGTGGTTAGGATATGGTGCTTTAATAAGCAATCTGTAGTTTCAGCTACTCAAGAGTTTGAGGCAAGAGATCTGCCTGGGTGCAGGAGTTTGAGGCCAGCCTAGGCAACACAGTGAGGCCCTGTCTCAATTAAAAATAAAAAGAGAGAGAGAGAGAGAGAGAGAGAGAGAGAAATAATCATATTGGAAGCTATAATCTTATTACCAATGCCTGCAAGTCTGATTTGACTAGCCTGGGTCAGAATCAGGCCATCTATATATTTTAAAGCTCCCTAAGTGATATTAATGTGCCACCAGGTGTGAAAAGCACCATTTCAGATCATCCAGAAAGGAAGAAGAGTTCAAGTAGCTGAGGAGGATTTAACATAATAGAAACTATTTAGTTCTGAATACATCCCCAGGGTAAACTGTTCTCAACTTCTCTGAATTTATCATATCACTGTGATTAGGGGATGGTCTAGTAGTAGCAGGAGCAGAGGAGCAAAGGTGGATCCTTTATGGGGAAGTAATTATTGAACTAGAAGAAGGAAAGATCTGGTGTGTCAGTAATAGACTGTAAGTTTTACTGGCAATATTTCTGAAGGAATATTCACACTTCAGCAGGAATGGCATGAGTCAAAAGTATTATATGCAAATAAAGCCATAGGGGAAAAGTATGGAAGAACTCCAAGTATATTCAAAATGAATCAACCTCTAGCTGTGCTCCAGGAACCTTTTAACATGTTTCTTTCACACTAGCTTTAATGAAATCCTTTTAGTAAAGCAACACTGGGAGAAGCCTTGAGTGATGGTACGTATTAAAATATATCTTAATATGGAGCACTCTACTTAACCCCACTTTTCCTTATGTAATGTTAGAAAACCTATATGACAATCATGCTAAAACTAAAAAAAAAAAGTTTATTCCTTATACTTCCTGTATTTTTTTAATTATAAAAAATCATGATATATAGATTAAATAATTCATATTTATATGCATTTCTTACGCCTATCTAAAATATTTATAAAACTCTTAGATATGAGGTAGCATGTTAGAACAAGCTCTAGATTTAGAATCTGAAGATGTTAGAAAAGTCCCCGAATTTCTGCCTTGTCTGACTCTTTTGAAAGACAGAGATAATAATGCTGTTCTTCTCTCCTTATAAAATCATTCTAAAGAGCAATTGCAATAAGAGATGAAAAAAAGAAAACCTCTTTAAACTGCAAGGTGTTCATGAGGGATTGCCATTCCCTTATCTGGTAATTGTTAGGGGAAGATATTAGGGTTTAGTGGACACAACTGGTGCCTGTTCAGTTCTCCTGGGATCCACTTTATCAACTCAGAGACCATCTTCCAGTTTCCACATGTTTTGCTGGTAATGACTCACACTCAAGACCTCCATTGTATTCCTTTTGGGCAATGAAGTCAAAGGCACCTTGCCGATATTGAGAGCTAGAAGCATATGGGAGTTGTTGGTTTTTTTTAATCCCCCCCATACCCACACCACCCCATCATCACATTCCTTAGCCAACGACTGACTTGGCTAAGGAAAGTAAGCCAAGTCAAGTTTTGTACCTCCACAAGTTTTGTGGAGGTACAAAAGCCCAGCTTCTTTGTTTGGAGGTGCGATAAATGCTAAGGTATAATGTTATGATGCAGAGCTTACCATGGAATTAGGCTAATACTGTGGCTCCAGCTGATGTCTACTCTTCCTTCATGTCTTCTTGCCAGCTCTGCTTTTTCTGTTCATTTACTGATTTCTCCTGGGAGCACCCTCTTAATAAATCAATGCACTTAAATCTTTTGCCTTGCGGTTTATTTCTGGGAGAAACTGGTCTAAGACACTGGTTAAAGGCTTAAATGCTTACATTCCAGGGACATACAGTCTAGTATATAAACCCATAAATAACTGTCCTAAGTGCCATCGAAAGTCTTGTACAAAGTATACGAACTTTGATTTTTATCTTTTCCACTCTTCCTGGGTTCTGGAGGGTGACCATGACCAGGGAATTAATTCATCCTATTCCAACAGAAGAGTTGTTAAATAGCTGAAGAATTAGCAAAATGCTAGGCATGGCTGGGAGCAGAAGTGAGTCACCTAACTGACAAAGATACTAAGCAGAAGTCCACATGCAGAATTGAAAGATCCCCTAGACTCTTTTCTCAGCCTGGCTCCCAGGATACTAGCTGCTAATCTTATAAGCCTCCAAGCAGAAGAATTTTTCCCTGAGGAAAACAGACCAAGGAAACCAAGACAACCTATACTGACAGTTAACGATTCCATGTGAGATAGGTGAGTCACCTGATCAGTGAGCAGATGACAAGCCCTTCTCAAGTATACAGAACCACCAGTTGGCTTTTGAGTGAGTCAATCTTAAATATCAAAACACAGCAAGTATGTGAACATATTTGAGAAAAGCCTCTCACATGAAAAGACTGGGGGGAAGAAAAACAGCAACAAAAAGAATGGTTAGAAAAGTAGAGGGAGCGTAAGAAAAAAAATGATGGCTAATACTCTACAGTCAATATAGATATACTACATTCATAATAAAACCAGGATGCTAGAAAAAGTAGCACATAAAGAACAAAAGAGAATTGACAGAAATTTAA